TTGTGTTCCCTCTCTCGCTGTGTCTCTCCCTGTCAAAATAAATAAATAAAATCGTTAAAAAAAATATTGGAGGAGAGCTATATATAAAATTCTTCTAGAACCAAACATGAATCATTCATGCACCCAGTAGTTACTGTACGTTAGACACAAAGTATAACTATAAAACCACTAATATTCAATTTAAGTAAGTGCTGTGCGTGGGGCAAAACAGATTTGTAAGTCTGTTTTTACTGCTTTCGGGGAGTATGATAAAGTATGTAACTCCTTTTGAGTAGACTTATTCCCTAAATAATCTTGTGTAAGTATAATTTTTTATATTGGGTATACTTAAAGTGCAACGCACTTTTATTTGTGGCTTTGGGCCCATGTAGCTATGCCAGTTACTGACACAGTCTAATAAATGGAATCTCTGCCCTGTGGGAACTTCTGGTGACACTCTCACAGGGATGACATATCCACTGGCACCGGGACACAGGGCTGTGGCATGGACTTACCCATGTCTCTGTGCATTTATCCCAGGCTCTGGGATTGCACTGTGCCCTTGAATGCTCTCAACCGCCCTACGAGGTGGTTATTACAGTTGTTGCTACCATGTAAAAGATGAAGAAACTGAGACCCAGCGTCATCCAGCTCCACAGTGAAGCAGCAGAGCTGGAACTCAGCTCTTAACTCCTGAACACTAGGAATGCCTGTCTGCTCCTCCTCTTCCTTTGGGTTTGAGAGGGGTGACTTTGAACATAGGAGTAAGACAACTGAAGGGGCACCTGGCTGACTCAGTCAGTGGAGTGTGTGACTCTTGATCTCGGCATCATGAGTTCGAGCCCCACATTGGGCATGGAGCCTACTTAAAAAAAAGAAAGAAAGACAACTGAAGAAACAGAGGAATTTCCTCTTCTGTGTTGCTGCATGGAAACCTTAGGGCTCAGTGCTCACAGCCTGGACTCAGTTACTCCTTTATCTTTGCAAGAAGGTTGAATGGTGTCATTTAAAACCTTGGAGGCACCACATGTGATTCTCCATTTGTATTCCATAGACCTGTCTGCAGGGCCACTGTTCATTACTACAGTTGATCGCTCAGATTAGTCCTCCCTGACCCTTGTCCGAGGGTCACACTGCACCCTGATCCTGCTTTCACTGCCCCCTTATCTCTGTGCTGGCCTCTTCCTTGCAGAACGCCAGTGGAACATGTGGATCCCAGGATTTGGCTCTGAAGAAATCCGACCCTACAAAAAGGCTTGCACCACAGAGGCCCACAAACAGGTGAGGAGCCATCAGAACCCCAGGGCAGCCACAGTCCACCCCTTGAGCTGTCTCTGAGGGAGCGCACACAGCTATGGTCCCTGCACTTTGTCACTCCCTCCACACAGGAAGCTCCGCTTCCTGGACCAAAGATCAGAGAGGGCAAGAGGCAGCAGGACTCCACAGGAGAACAGTCAGTTACTTCTGTGGTACTCTGCTGTTCCCACATGGGGTCTCAGTTTTTCCTGTCAACCCTGATGGGTGTCACTTAAAGCTGTTAATTGTAGGTTCTTCTAATATGGACAGAACTCGCCCCGTCCACATCTCCCTAATGAAATCTCTGCACTGTGGCTGATTGGAACGTCGTGTGTGGCCCTCTCACTAGAAGGCAGTTTAAAGAAAGGAGAGAGGGATGCCTGGGTGGCTCAGTCGTTAAGCGTCTGCCTTCGGCTCAGGTCATGATTTCAGGGTCCTGGGATTGAGTCTCGCGTCGGGCTCCTTGCCTGCTTCTCCCTTTGCCACTCCCCCTGCTTGTAGTCTCCCTCTCTCTCTCTCTCTGGCAAATAAATAAATAAAATCTTTAAAAAAAAAAGAAAGGAGAAATAGGCCGTATTTGTGCTGGAGGGTAGCACGCAGGCTGCTGTGCCAGGCCTTCTGGCCTCTGTCCCAACTTGCCATTTGTTCTCTGTCCCTCTGACTGCAGACTTGAGGGGTCAGTACAAGAACCTAACTCCACTTCTGCTGTGCAACAAGTTGTCTCTCTCATCGGTCAGTCTAATAGCAATGATGGCTTCCTTTTAACAAAGGCTTAATTTAACTGGCTGCTCTGATTTGAAAAGTGAGCTTTTTCCAAGCTTGATGGGCACATTTGGGTGGTTCTGGCTGAGTGTCCCTTGCTTGTCCATAGCCTGGATCTGTGGAGTGTGTATGTTTACAGACCTCACAGAGGAAGCCCTACAGGGAAGTCACCAATAGCCTGAATCAAAGGGCCACAGTATTCTTCAGAAGGGAGTCCCTTCAGACAGTGGATGGTCATTTTGGCTCTGTTTCCAAATCACCTACTTTTCAGCGCTCTCTCTCTCTCTCTTAGCAAGTATCATAATATTAGGACAGTGTCTTGGTCAAAAGAGTAAACAAAGCAAATCAGTAATTTGGCCAGTGGGCTGGTAATAGTAAAATTTGAAACCCCCATGACCTGAATGTTTCCCTGATGGGTTGTGGTGGAAATTGTTAGTGTCCATTTCCTTCATTGTAGGTCATCAAGTGTGAAATGTCAGCTCCCTTTATGTGTGGCCACAGGCTTGGAACAGCCCCCTTCCCTATTTTCTTCATCCTCAGAGAGAGTAGTCTGGGGGACTGGAAACACACACTTGGATGGCCTGGCCCCTCAGTCCCCAGAAGACAAGAGCTATCATCTTCTGGTTTTAACCTTTTTCCATCCTGCTAACCTCCAGCAGTTTGGGTCTTTTGGTCAATGAAATGGATCCACTATCGAAACATCTCTTGGGGCCCTAAAGACTGCTCTCAGGCTCAAAGGAGCCTGCTGAGCTGCCCTGTGAATGTAGGTTCCCCAGGGCTCTGGCTTGTGGTATAGACCATGCCCCACGTGGGTGACTGGGAAAGTTCCTGACTCTAAGCTGTGTAATTGGTTATTTCGCTCTCCTTTCAGAGAATGGCACTGATCCGGAAAACAACCAAGAAATAACACACGGGAAGGTCAGGGAATGGACAACAATGTATTTGGAGATACTTGAGCTGAGA